CAGAGTTCTTGTTTTGAAAAAGAAAAAGAGAAAAGGGGATATAGATACGATAGGATAGGGCAGATTATTGAATCTGCTCTGAAAAAAGGGGGATATGGATAGGATAGAATAAAAAGGCGGGTTATTGAATCTACTTTTAAAAAGCAACTACTTGTTTTAAATATTTTACATTGATATGGATCTTTGTATATTGATAAAAATTTGAGATTATTTTTGTTAGAACATACTATACATACATTTCTATTCTTGTTCAAGGTATTGTACCTATAAACCTCATTTAACAATGCAAATTTTTAGTCCTTAAAAGTTATTATTACCAACTAATTAGGATATAAAGAAACTCAAGTTAGTAGTTAGTCATTACAATCAAACTTGTAGTCAATATTAGGTATGTTTTCAAGGTTAAACAGAGATATATTTTAGATAGAGAGGTCATCTTCAAACACTTCAGAGAATATGGCAGTATTTTAATAACACAGGTTCTTTTTCTATTTTTTTTTTTTTTTATGACAATGAGACGTCTGCTCTGGCAGCACCAATCTACTTCGGAGAAGATAATGAGCATCCAAGAAACTCCATATGGAGTTTACTTTCTTTGGGGCAAAAGTAAGCCACTGGACAAGAAAGTGCTCTTGCTTCAACTGCTGACAGTATGCTGTCCAAATGGACAAGCTGGACACAAAAGAAAGGACTGCCAAACCTTGTCAAGGTGGGACAGCCCTTCAAAAACCCTGCTTCATAGAAAAGTCTGTCAAGAAAAAAGAAAGGAAGGAAGGAAGGAAGGAAGGAAGGAAGAAAGAAACAAAGAAAGAAAAAAAGAAAAAGAAAGAAAGAAAGAAAGAAAGAAAGAAAGAAAGAAAGAAAGAAAGAAAGAAAAGTCTGTCAAATAGTCTAGACCTGTAGGCTGAAGATGGATGCCCCAACGTTACAGAGGAACCTTGGATGACTGTCCAGGCAGTCAGCTGTTTCTGTCATTTCTCACATTTTTTGGAAGTGGCTTGCTTGCACTTCCCGCTTACTCGGGTAATATTATTTGTTTCTTGGGTCTCTGGAGTTGAGGACTAGATAGTTATAGCTTTCCTTGTTACCAGATTCAGAAAAGAAATTCACTAAAGTTTGAGAGACATCAAAGATAGTTTTTGGTTGGTAATACAAGTTAGGATAGAAAGTGAATTAGGTACAACACTTTGGACTCACCAAAACAGGATAAATAATGGAGTATTTTCTCTGAATTTGTCAAGTGTTAATGGACTAGACATTATTGATGTAATGACTGCCTGTATATATTATATGCAGTTATTGAACTTATTACAGTTTTTCTTATATTAGTTATAATCTCTTTTTAAAATTTTAGACAAAAAGGGGAAATGTGGTGATATTTTGTGCATGATCTATCAAATAAAGCCTGCCTGAAGATCAGAGGGCAAAGTCAGCCACCAGTTAACCATAGAGGCTAGGTGTACATTAACATAAGAATTTTAAAATGAGTATTTAACACCTATTTTCTAAGCAAACATCAGCAAAAGCTTTGTTTATGGATTTCCTTTATTCACTCAAATTTCTAATTGCCTACTTAGTTTGTAGAAACAATAAAAGATTCCTATGACATATGATGATCTGCCTTAAAAAAGAAAAGTGTCTCTTTTGGACATCTGCAAACATATTCCAGGGAATTGTATCACAGCTCATATGCTAATAGCTACTCCTAAGAATTCAGATATTAGAGCTAATGTCTGTAGAAACAGCCTAGGGAGAGCAAGCTGAACTAGGCTGGAATCTGGTTCAGCCATCGGTTTCTTGAATGCTACTTGGGAAAATAACTATTGTTGAGTCTCAGTGTCCAATCCACGCAGCTGAGAATGGTATCGCATTGAGAAGGGTCTGGCCAAGATCAGAGGTAGTCAAAATGAGTTATCTGACACAATGAGTACTCAATAGACATAAACCATCACTGTGTTACAGACCACCAGTGTATTCAGACAGCATTAAAACAGCCTGCTTCATTGAGCTGACTATGGAAGGGGTCACAATTACATGTACAGTGCCCTTTCTGCAGAAGAAGATGACTGTGCTAAGTTCCTCTTGAGATGCCCTTCAATAAGAACAAATAGCTAACAAAATGACTGTTAACAGTCACATGATCAACTACAATATTAATATTTAAAGGAAAATTTTCATATTGAAAGTCAAAGATTTAGCAAATTCTAGCATACAAATGTTACCACTATGAGATTAACTTTCGTTATCTGTCTTAAACTGTGAAGGACTGTATCAAAGAATGTAAACAGAATGTAAAAGTGGCACAGTACTTAATCCCCTTAGAAGGATACCAGAACTGGACAATAGTAATTATAGTAGTAATTTTTAAAAAGATTTGTCTATGTATTATTTATGTGTAAGTATGTGTGCCGGTGGTGAATCTATGTATATCATGCATGTGTGAGTGCCCAAGGAGGCCAGAGGGCATGGGATTACCTGGGACTGGAGTTACAGCCTGTTGCAAGCTGTCTGAGGTACGTGCTGGGAACTGAATCAAAGTCCTCTATAAGACCGGTAAGTTCTCTTAACTACCGAGTCATCTCTCCATCCCTCAGAGCAGTTATTTCGGTGGAAAGTCTATCCCTTGTTTTTTAAAGACTTACTTTATATTTATTTATGTGTATATGTGTCCGTCTGTGTGTGAGAATGTGCACATGCAGGTGCGCAGGATGCCAGGAGAGGACATGGACCCCCTGGAGCTGGAATTACATGCAGTCGTGAGCCTCTGGAAGCCAGGTTCTCTTCAAAGAGCAGCAAATGCTCTTAACCAGAAAGCCATCCCTTCAGCCCGTCAGTCAGTCTGTTTCACCCAGTATCCTAGTTTAAATTTTCATTTGTTGTTTAGCTTCTTTTATGATAAACTAAAACAGGCAAATGAATTAAAATCTACTTGGAAAACACAATGGAAAAGCATCTCCAACTGATTGCCTGAGATGATTTCCTAATTACCTCCTACACACCTTCCTTCTGCTCAGTCTACCCATCCCTTCTGATGACTTAGTCACATTAATCCTTCAGTCAGGCTCTGCCTCCACCCAGCTCCTACCATGTTCTCAGGCTTGTTTCTGACCTGTGTGTATGGTCCCCAGCTGTACTGTGTGCTTTCCATGGCCCATAACATCTATCAGAGGCGTCCCCCGACACCACCCCCAACCCAAGGCAAGGTCTCACCATGGATGTCTGGTTGTCCTGGAACTCACTCTGTAGACCAGGCTGGCCTTGAACTCACAGAGATCAGCCTGACTCTGCCTCCCAAGTGCTGGGATTAAAGGTATGCACCACTATGCCCGGTTTACCAGGGACCTTCTTAAACTCAGGATTTTGGCTATTCTGAACTATATCTCATCACAATTATAGTCTTTAATTTGGATCGAGCTCTTTAGCAGAACATTGTACTCTGAAAATTAGTTTTCTCTTCAAGTCTATACAATAAACTGCTTTCAAAGTTATTAATTTATAGACACAAAGACACACACACACACCTTGCACATGCATACATTATTAGTCAGTGGAGCACTCAATAATTCCAGTGTTCCAGAACCTGAAGCAAAAGGATTGAAAGTTTGAAATCAATCTAGATGACAATTTGAGATCCTGCCTCCACAGAACAATCAATACATTAAAGCTAAATCTCATGTAATTTTCTGTCTTGATGAAAAAAAACTTTTTTTTTTAGTCACATGTGACAGGCAAAATTAATTACTGTTGATTAGGCTAATTTTAGAAATATAATCAATTTACATATAATTTTCTTAATCCAACAATATTAGTTTTCTTACACTTTACGGGAAACTGCTTTATTTCTGTCATAATTTCTTAAGAACACATTCTGGGGACAAGGAGAAGTTCCCAGAGGGAGGATTTGCAGAATACCCATAGTGACAAAGATAAAACACAAGTTATTTGTTAAAAGTTTACTAACAGTTAAAGGCATACATAAGATCCCCTCCAATGTTACCATGCATAATACTACTAATGTTGATAGGAATGGCCCTGATACGCCACAGGAGACTGGATTGAATCAACCACATGTGAATCTGTCAGCTTTGTTTTAAGTTTTATTTCCTCTTCACTAGGAATTCACTCGTAAACTAACTACCTGCAGGAAGTTATTTCACCAACACTCAGCCTTCAACTGAAGGATGTAAGGTCAGGAAAGGGCAATGTCCACACTTGTTCTTTGAGGTTTAGATTCATCTAGTGGTCAAGGAGTTTCCTTTCTTCATTTTAAAAGCAAATCAAGTTTATGCTATCCTTTCAATCTCATTACTGTGAATAAATATTATTTTACAAATATTCAAAATAAGAAATACAGTTTTATCTGTATTGCTGAATATGTATCATGAGAAAACAGTAAAGACCAGGAAATTGTACCTAAGCTGCACTAAGAAAAAGATTCTCTCCAGTCACAATAGATTAGTTTAAATAATTTAAATTAGCCTAAGAGCTAGTCAAATTCTGGGAAATTTCACTGGCTGAATGTCAGAAAGTCTAGGTGCCAGTTTAAAAAACATTAAAATACTAAGAAATCTGTTTAACTGATATTAGGCAAGTATCCTTTTTTGCAATCTCAGTAAGAGCACCATGAAGGGAGAGAAGACTTCCCTCCACTCAACGGCAAGCACCACAAATCTAGTTAGTTAGGTGTAAGGAAATTTTAATATAACTGCAGGATATTGAAGACGTGGGTGACTACCAAGTGTTTTCAGATCACAATTTAAAAAATAAGATACATGCCAGAAACTGATCCTTTTAAGTTATTAAAAGTTTAAGAAAGGCAAATCCTTAATATTTGAACAGAAAAATCTGCTTAAAAAGGCAATCTTCTAAGCTGCTCTTAACTATAATCATGAATTCATGAATTCAGAGTCAACATTTAGCATGAAAAGGTCAGTAATAAAGTGTTACATCAAGAGAGGAAGGAAGGAAGAACTATGTGAAGACCAACATTTATCACTCACCTCATGAGTCAGCTCTGCTATCTGATCCTGCAGCTCCCTAACGTACTGGTGAGAGTCGGACCTGCTGAGCTCTCCATGGAACTCGTCCTCTTCTCTCTGTTTTGTGACAACAGAAAAATCAGCAAACGACTTTACATCATGAACTAAAGTATTTTAAGACACAGGGCAGCAGTTTAGGGAGCTAAATTATGATCAAATCCATTCTATCTCTGAAAAGTAATTCTTAATGAATTAAACTGAGTGTTTATAAAATACGCCTAATGATGACAAAGCATACACTTTATAAAATGTACCCTTGAGAAAGTCTTAGAAATTAATGATCAAACGGGTCCTCTGGTGACAAAATTACCCTTGAATTTCAAGGCCATTTATGTAATTATTTTCATATGCAGTTGCTTTTCTACCCACACCATAAAAGTCAGTGCCTAGTCAAAAGCTGATGAGACTCCCAGTTATACTTGAAATCGTTTTGAAGAAACAGAAAAAATTCTCTAACTCTACAAAGGGATAATTAACTGTGAGTCTCCTGTTACATTTGCTCAGGACTATGCTCTGGGAATCCTAGATATAGCTGATTTTTAAAAATGCTCTTGGGACTGAAGAAATGGCTCAGCAATTCTGAGCATGTACTGCTATTAAAGAGGTCCTGAGTTCAATTCCCACCACCCATGTCAGGTGGTATACAACAGCCTGCAACTCCAGCTCCAGAAGCTCTGACATACCGGACACTTTCCCCTGGCCTCTCCAGGCAACCGCACTCACATGCACACACCCACTCAGACTCATATGCATACACAGAACCAAGAACAAACAGCAGAGTGGAGTTAAGTCTTTAATGGTGCTCCTGGTCCTAGCAATTGCTGAGTAGGAATGGGGCCATTTTCCAAGGCTACAGCTATTAGGGAGAAGCCATCTTTTCCTTTTCTTCTCAGCACACATCCCCCAGCTGGCCTGCAATTTACTACAGAGATTAGGCTGGACTCAAACTCAGAGATCTGCCTGCTTCTGTGTCTATGGAGACAATCATATGAACAGTTTTAGTGTAATCTTCCTATGACAGTCTGTACATATATGATCACCATGCATGCACACAGTTACTTTTGCCACATTACAGAGAGTAGCAGTACAAGCTGAATGACATTCAACAGAGCAACAAGGCATATACTGTGTTGTCAGAGAACTCTGCAAGCCCCTGTAAGCTGCCTTAATGCTATTTGGGTATTTATAGGCTTTTAAAGTCAGTTTTAATATTGTCTTAGGTATTGCACCTTCATAATAAAGGGTCACATGGAAGAAAATTTTCCAGTATAGCAATCCCTTCTGCTACCTTTCAAAATCACAAGAAGATGAGACCCTGGACCTCTCCTTCAGACCTCAAAGTGCACACAAGCCCACCTTCCATTTTATGCTTATATATGTTCCTCAAATATCCTTGGCAGAAAGTAGAAATAACTATAACTTCCAACAACAAAAATGGGTAGCTATCCTATAGTCAGGAACCTAGTCCCCCATCCTGCTCGCTCAATGAGAACTGTCTTTGTTGCTACGATCACATGTTAACTGAACTTGGTCTTTTCTTCAAATCCTTCTATCAAATTATTCCTATACACTGATTTTTTTGTTCTGTCTTTTTTTTTTTTTTTTTTTTTTTGGTTTTTCGAGACAGGGTTTCTCTGTGTAGCTTTGCGCCTTTCCTGGAACTCACTTGGTAGCCCAGGCTGGCCTCGAACTCACAGAGATCCGCCTGCCTCTGCCTCCCAAGTGCTGGGATTAAAGGCGTGCGCCACCACCCCCCGGCTATTCTGTCTTCTTTTGGCAACATAGCTTTAAAAAAAGAAAACCCTGTAGTAGAAGATGACCCACTGGACTGATTCAATGTAACTCATACTCAGATTCAATGTAACTCATACTTAGATTCAATGTAACTCATATTAACTTAAAACTTAGAAATCTCAATTTGAGCCAATAGCCAGAGAAAAGACAAAGACACAACACAGAACAGCAGAGACACTAAGTCAGAATCCCAACAAAATCATTTCTGAAGTCTTCCATCTTTTCCCATTTAAGTAAACAATAATGCCTCTTCATTTCTGTTACTTTTCAGTAAAAATAGTAGCTAATACATTGAATATATATGAGCCCTTCTCATTTGAGGTTCTCCAGGGGAACTGAGCTCCAACGCCTACAGCATTATCATATGTAAAGGTTTAATAATGCTCCTGGCACCTGGGCTGGTACTAAGTACCATCAAGAACTCATTCAGATAGTCTAATATTTTCGTGGAGCTCAGACAGAGAAAGATAGCACTTAAGTCAAAAATAGTTCTCATTCTTTACAAGCAATCAACACAACAACCTTGTTTTGTTACTTCTTCAATTTTTTTCTTTTTCTTTTTCCTCCCCTTTTTCAAGACAGGGTCTTGCTATGCAGAGCTCTGGCTGTCTTAGAACTCGTTCTATAGACCAGGCTGGCCTCAAACTCATAGATCAGCCCGCCTCTGCCTCCCAAGCACTGGGATTGAAGGTATCTGCCACTAGGTCCAATTTATTTCTATAAAATTTAAAAGTAAAGTGGTTACACAGGAGTTAGAGACAGCTGACACATTTTTGGTTGTGATTTTACAGCATTCTGAACATGAGAAACAGTGATGCAAACAGGGGCAGGAGAATTACGCGAAGCTCCAAGCAGAATGTGTCCTGGATTGTTCACAGGTTTCCATCTTTACTTTCATATTTATTTTAATTTCCGCTAATTTTACTGGGAATTGAAATATAAAGGAACCCAAGAGGACATGCTACAGCCCTTGGTATTTACCATCCAAGCTATTAATTCTGTTCCTCAAATTCTTATTATAATTGATAGCTACATGTGATTTTGGATCATCCCACATTTTATATATAACAAAATTTACTATTTACAATTTGTATGTTTACATGTCTATGTGTGAGTATATACACATGAGTACAAGTGTCTACCAAGTCCAAAAGAGGGTGTTGGGTCCCCTGGAGCTGGAGTTACAGGTGGTTGTGAGCCGCCATGTGGATGCTGGAAATAGAACTCAGCTCCTCTGCAAGAGCTAGATGTGCTCTTAACCACTGAGCCAACTCTCTAGCTCTTAAGTTTGATTTTAAACCTGTTTTGTTTTTACTGATTTCTCATTGCTCAAAATTAAAACAAATTGAAATGAACAATTTATACATAATTCGAAATTCCAAAGACAATATGTCATTTTGATTGTAGCCTTCAAAATGTTTCCTTGTATGCAGACACATATGAATATTTTCACATCTACAACTACAAATTCATGCTTAAAATATAAATTTAAAACATAGATCATACTCTATGCTTACTAAACTTTTTTAATATTTCATATAGATTGTGCTATTAAATATTTTGAAAACATGGCATTTGATAATTTATAAATGTTTAAATTAATCACTTTTTTTTGGCTTTTCGAGACAGGGTTAATCATTTTTTTATTCATTCCATTTTTTAAATATTTTAAAGGCACAGAACAAAAACAACATAGGAAAAGAAAAATGACTGGTGAATACACCACTAAAACTCAGTGTGTTACATAGTTACCTTACCCTAAGGGCTTCCTTGGCTCCACATTAACTCTCCTTCAAACTGCTACCTCTTCAAAGTAGGAAAAAGGGGAGCAAAGGGGAGCCAGTGAGCGAGCAGGAAGAAGTGCACTGAAAAAGAGACTGTAAGGAGGGCCAGTGCTCACTAAGATGAGTCAATGACACCACCACTCTTAGAGAAAGTAGTCCCCAATTCCAGCAGCACTGGGGGGGCCGCTGTTCATCCACAGGAGACTAATTTGGTGACAGTCACTCGTCAGATGTCTTCAGCAATCCTCTGGTGTGTCTAATCTTCATATCCTATCATATTTACAATCTTGATTAAATAAGAAGTAAACTCCCTAACTAGGAAGATGTGAGCCGATATAAAATTCAAATACAAATAAGATGATTAACAGAAGATATGCTCTTACAGTGTGAGGAAGGAGGTGAAGAACACAGAAAGACCTCAGGTTTGAAAGGCTGGAGAATGAGCATGAACAGGCATTTTCATCTACCCGCCTACGAGGACACCTGCAAGGGGGAAACTCTGCTGGCGAGGCAAGAATCAGTCAGTCTGTTTAAAACAATTGAGTCCAGAGATATTTCATCCAAAGTTGGTCACTAGGGTTTAGCTAAAAATAAATTTTCTAGAGTAGTTGATTTTTCTGAAGGAAAGACAGCATTGATGAAAAAGAGGGCATCTGAAAAATCTTTACAAATAAAAAAGATGGAGGGATGGAGACATGGCTCAGTGGTTAAGAGCACTTGTTCTTGTAGAGGACTGTGGTTTGGTTCTCAATACCTGGAACTTGTGCTTACCGGACAAAAAGAAATTCCAAGAAAAAACAAAACAAAACACTATAATCAATTAAATCTAATGTCTATAGTGGATCAGTGGATAACATTTAAATTTAAATATGACTTAGAAAATGAGTAACAACTGTTAATGCATGCAGGGTAAACTCAGGGGAGAAAAGAATGATTAAGCACTTTTATTTCAAAATACTTTTCACATATCAACAGTACCCAGCATTACAAACACTTGTCAAAGAGCTCTGCTTGGGCATGTGGATCCAATAGTCCACTTAAAGGAAAAATCACTGATACTTTAAAAGTGGAAACAGCCGGGCAGTGGTGGCACTCACCTTTAATCCCAACACTCAAGAGGCAGAGGCAGGCGGATCTCTGTGAGTTCGAGGCCAGCCTGGGCTACCAAGTGAGTTCCAGGAAAGGCGCAAAGCTACACAGAGAAACCCTGTCTTGAAAAACCATAAATGAATGAATGAATGAATGAGTGGGTGAATAAATAAAGGTGGAAACAAAGAGTCAGTCAGAAAGATCCTAAATGCTATTTATGACAGATGTATAAATGACCTATAAATTCTTGATTTTTAATGTTCTACAAACAGGCTTTCATTTAAGTATTACTTTAAAGCATTTTTAGTAAAGAACCTCTTTCAGTATAAAAGGAGAACATATATTCACAATGTAAAATATATTAAAGAGCTACATATTCTAAGAATTACA